GCTTGCTAGCCATCGTTTAAACCTCGCAGTCTGAACGCTACTGGACCCGCACGAACAGGACATCGAACAAGTCCAGTCGCTGATGAAAAGAGGGCGATCACTGAAGAGGCCAATTTGAGGTAGATACTTTCCTATCAAATATTTTATAATATTTGTTAAAAATAACTTTTTCTGCCTTCTAAAGACTAAGGACACCACCCCGGCTCAAGATGCGTCAGCAAACCCTTGGGGGTCGACGTACGCGATGATGTATCGTTAAATTGAGCTTTGCGAGTTTGTAAGCTCGGACGACGAAGATTTGGTGGAGCTACTACCATCATTGATCACTAATCGCAGATTCAAGCGCTCATGACAGAAAAGAGCGACGCTGAGTCAATTTACAAGAAGCTGCAGTCAAACAAGCTTAATCTTCTTGATGCTCGCGATCTGCTGGATGAGCTGCTGGTGATAAAACCAAGTTTTACCAACTATCTCAAAACGATTTTGCTTTATTTAATTATCTAGCTTTTTTCTTTAAAAAATAAGCCCCATGAGCGGAGTCGTGCACTGTCCACATTTTGAAACTGGTGTAGTCAAACGTCTTGGTGGCCCTAAGAAAGACCTGACGAGGGCTGAAAAAGAGGCACTGATGCCCTTTCAGCGTGTGACCAGCAGGAGCAGTAATCCAGTAGAGGATTCGGTCAAACTAGGCTTTGCTGATCGGATTTTCAAGCGCAGGAAGATTTCCGCGGAGCCTAACACCTACGCGATGTTTTCTGTCGTTCCACCTGCCTCCAACAAGGCGGAAAGGCTGTTCAGTATGACTCGCATGATCTTGCGCTACGAGCGTATCCGACTTTCGCTGTTGATCTCGGAGATGCTGCTGTTCCTGAAGGTAAACAGCAGCTATTAGGATGTCACCACTGTTGATGCTGTGGTTTAGGAAGTATGGTGCGAAAACCTTAGTAACACGGCTACGTTTTGTTGCTGATATTTATTTGCCACAGTTGCTGCACAAGGTTTTTATCTACAGATTTCCGAGCTGCCATGCATGTATCTATTCTTACTAAACTAGGAAATCCGTATTAATTCTATTTTGAGGAATCCTGGTAACCATCGGTTCGAATTGACATTACAGCGGTACAGACTTTTGTGTGGCCTTTTCTCGACCTTGCGACCTCTTTCCCCCAAAATGTACTTTGGCAGGTGCCTAAATTATCGCGGTCTCGCCCGCGTCATAGATGGTGGTGGTGTGTGTGTATGAAGGGGGGGGGCGACCTCATGATCAACAGACTAGTGCTTCGCCACTACACCGTTTGGGGCCCTTCGCGCCAAAACCTTTGTCTACACACCAGTCAATATATTTGAAGTTCGATAGGGTAATTTTTTAATTATGCAGCCACTTTGTAGGTATAGAATTAAAAACATGTACTGAAAAGGCTTGGGTTGTCTTGTGACCTTTTGGTTTTGCTGCGGGGCTTCTACCGTCGTTGTACAGTAAAATTTGGCCCTGCACCCGCGCTCAAAATATATAAAGATATTTATTTCAATTCCTATCTTTTGCAGTCTTTGTACATATACATTTGAACAGCCTGCAAGCTGGCACAGGCCCACAAAGCTCCCGTGGTTTTTTGGTTTGCGGGCATTGCTATGCTAGTGAGTTTGCTATATGACGTTTTATTTATTTAAACCGTAATGAGAGAGACAGTGTAGTCTCGTGGCGTATTGGTGAATCAAGTGTCATTTGTTGTTTCTGGCATCTGCGAGTGCTATTGATCTACGCTCTGCTACTACTCACACTAACAAAAACATCCCGCGGTTCATTTACAGGACGCTCAGATGAATCACAAATCTGTCTATCTGTCAGTACCAGCATCGTGCTCTTCTAGTGGGTCAGTGTTGTAGGAGGAAGCTATTGGGCTCATTTGCTGTAGTCATGAAAGATGCGGTCGAGATACCACGCTGAGTGCCGATTAACTTCAGCGATCTATCTCCCGAAGACATCTACGTAAGACATTTAGGATATATTAACCCTTTCGTGGCATAAGGGCGCCTGGTGCACCCTTGAAGTGTTTTGTCAAAAGAAAGGACGTGATCAGGTCATCAAAGGGCGCCTGGTGCGCCCACTTGTAAAAGTTCAACATATTTTGCTCCGTCTATAAAAGTATACGACGGTGCGATTCGTAATCATCCAGCATACTTTAGTATTAACCCTTTCGTGAACACATATCTTGATGCCTATCCAGAATCTTTGTAAAACGCAGCATTTTGCCGCGTTTTGACGTGGTGATGGACACCCCTGCGACATCCGGACCTTAACAACGTGACAGCCGCTGTTTCATTTTACGGTAGGTTGCCCCTAGAACGCGGCATTTTGCCACGTCTTGCACAGAAATATCCACGTCGGTGATTGGGCAAAAGAGCGCGCTTGTCAGATTGGTTTAGACTGGCCAATCAGAACCATCATAAAATATGAATTTCCTAACGTCAATTTTCCCATCCCATATGGTATCTGAGGATAGACATATGAATCGCCGAAGTTGGGAGTCCCAACCGAGTCCAAACTTTGGACTCCAAAGGCGCTATTGGATAATGGCACCAACTCCGGTTATCACTTACTAGTATTGATCACCGTAGTGCTGGCGTCGTCATGCTATAATATTGGTAATATAAGTCGTTCATTGATTGCTACAGTGGACGTGCGTCTGCTAGCGTAGGTATGCCGAATCGCTGCAGTCAAAGTGTGTATCACATCTTATTGCCTACCTTTTGTAATAGGATAGCCGAGTATATATTTTGTTCTAAGTATTGACTGGTCCAACCAAGCATATATCTTGTTTTACGTATTGACTGGTCCAGCCGAGCATATATCTTGTTCTAAGTATTGACTGGTCCAACCGAGCATATATCATATTTTTTTTAGTGCTAGAAGTTCGAGCTTGCGAAACTGAAGAAACAATTACTGGGAAATATAATACATATTTAATCTTAGGTTTGATAGCGAGTCTATTACTTTTGTTCTTTCATAATTGATACGATGTGAGACATTCGCTAGAGCCGTTCATTTCCTAATTTATTCCGTGCCTCCCATGCCGGGAAAACGCGCGCTGGCAAACTCACAGCACGCCAGACGAAAGCGACGCCGGACACGAGGCGAAGTTGGCGCTCATAGTAGCCATGCTATTCCTTTGGCGTCGACATTAGACTTCCATGTTGTGTGGAGAGAGCTGAAGGCGGCTGGATGGACGTCCAAGCCGCCACGAGGCCTTGACAACAGATACCGGTATGTGCTTCCAGGTTGCACTGCAAACGGAAGAGAGGGCAAGGATTTCTTGCTTGGGGAGAAAGGCGTGTTAAACCACTTCGTGCAACATTGTCGGTACCACAACTGCTCTGTAATGACGTCGATTATGGCTCCTAAGCAATATAGTGACCAACGTTATATGTACAGGTAACCCCCAAGTTGTGCATGAGAGCGAGGGACGAATGCTGATCCGTCCACAACAACGACGGTAACTCGCCGAATCGGAGCAACAAGTCTCCCGTTCCCGGCTCCAACCTGTATTTTAGAGTACAACCAGCATATGCGAGGTGTTGATCGGTTAGACCAGATACGTGCAAGATTTTCGCTCGCTGAAGGCCATTCCTTTAAACAGTGGCATAAAAAATTAGCGCTGGCACTCGTCGATATCGCACGTGCCAACGCTTATTTGACTCGTCGAATGGCAATTGATACTTCAAAGGATCGAGACCCCCACAGAACGTTCATTACGGAGTTAGTGTCTGAGTTGATTTCGGGAAAATGGAAAGAAGCGCCGAGTAACGGCAAGATGGCTTATGGTAGCAGCATTGCCAGAGAAACGGGAGCAACAGGGTGTGTTACCCACCAAGTAGTGGCTGCACTGTGGCAAGTGTTTCCAGTCACCAAACACAGTGCGATGTGATGTCTTCTAAGCAAATATTTAAGGACAAGAGCAGAAGAAAACGAGAATGCGTAGTTTGTCGCGATGAGGGCAGGTACCCGACGGAGGTAACTGATCGCTGTCCTACGCACTCAGTGAGCATTTGCAGGGTTGCCCATGGTGACTCCAACACTTCATTCACCTGCCCGCAGAGCACTTGGACATGCTGGGATAAGTACCACCGCTTCTATCTCCCCAAAGGACTTATCAGCAAGAATGAAAACATATGCAGGTCTTCAGTGCTGGCCACGCTCAAGGCACAGCATCAATCCGAATGGGGCACTGCAACACAACATCCTGCTGATGATACAGCGTGCCAGCAATATACGCAAAACCAGCAAAGTGATTCGAGCCACCAATGTACACCATGCGAACAAATTAAATCGAGCCCCCACGCTAACCGAGCCAACAATGTCCAGCAAAGCCCACCTAGCCAGTCAAGTGCTTTGAATCTATACCATTAAAGTCCAGCGAGCCCGGCGATCCAACATAGTAAGGTCGTGAGGCAAATTTTTCTATAATAGTGAAGTATGAGTAAGAAAACACGATTTTCAAATTCAGGGTATATATCTTGATTAAAGTATACTAATCATAGCAGTGCTCATTCGGGGTAACAAAGACGCCCCCTCAGGCAGCGACAACCACAGCAACAGCAGCACGGCGCTCACCATCTACCAGCACTCGTTCTTCCGGAAGGACCGCCCTGACCTGCTCGTCCAAATCACGAGAACTAGCCAGAAAGACGGCATAAATCCACAGTTCATCCATGGTTCACTCTTTATTCGCTGATTGCTTACAAATATCTTGTCTCGCATTTCATAAACACACCTTCAATCTGGATTTCGACATCCGGCAACCTATAAGTAAATTTCACCACGCCAGATTGTGTGCCTTGCAAAGATAGCAAGTTATTAGAAATACCACAAAATCACCCGCTGCCGTCGGCACTCAACATGAAGAACGAGTTGCTGTACGGCGACATGCTGGACGCCACTGCCGTGGTTCCACTTCCGCATGCATTGGGATCCCTTATTCTATACAGTTGTCGCCGGTGGAATCCTAGACGGGCGATGGCTCACAATTCTGCTGCCGCACTTGGTACATGTAGATAGGGATACACTCGGACTTCCAGCTTGCGTGACCGTACGTAGTATGCGTTGGCACCCACTTGGCGCAAAACCTTCTTCGGCAGGATTCGCGATGACGCGGGCAATAGCGAGAGGTAGATATAATCAAACGCGCTCTTTGCAGCAAGCTCAGCTCCTCTTCGACAACGAGCCTAGCTAATTCATCAAACAAAAAATCATTCAGAAAAATCACTGACGCGTCCAGGAAAGGTGGTGTAGTCGATAAAGGCGTATCGTCGACATTCCCCTGGAGCAAGAAAACTTTATGCAGTAGTAGAATTCGGGATGCATATGCTCGCAAGCAGGATACACCTCTGCTGAGCCAACTCCGGTCGTTTTTCGATGCCCAAACACTGACGTGCCTTCGTCTGTACCGCGTACTGAGCCGCCACATTCCCCAACCCAGCTCCAACATCGAAGAAGACGTCATCATGCCGAATGTTCCCAATCATCTCAATTATTTTTGAAACCGCAGCAGGAAGCACCTCACCTGCGTTCTCATCTGTCCTTCCAGCTTGTTGTCGAACCTCGAACGCCGATTAAGTACTGAAAACATCACAGATAGTTCGTTCCGCTTGACTCGGTGCTTGAATATGCAAACGTTTCTCATAAGGAGACGTCGTTCTCACTGTCAAGAAAAAAAAGCGTGGGAACCGCGAAATATCCATTCCGTAGGTTCACTTGAGTGCACGCAGCCGACTCTCAAGGGCTTGGGCCGAATACTTGCCCCGCATGGCGCGTGTCACCTCCTTCCATTGAACTCGCTTGCGCTGGGACTCATATTCAAGCGCAAGCACAACAAGCCTTTTGTCTTCTGCATCGGTGAATTTAGTCCGCATAGCAAAACAGGAAGAGAAGTGGAGCCTAGCATGTCACTTGAGTTCATTATGCTAGATATCAACTTGAGTTCATTATTGTGAATATGGATGCCCTGCCGTCTAGACAGTATGTGAAACGCAATATGCATGTCATTTGCACTTCCTTCCCAACGCAATATTTACACTAAAGTGGACGTAAAAGGTGCACTGTATTGCAATATTCTCCTTTGAAATTCACTAGTCGAGCAAAAACAGCATCTACCCACAGCTATCTGTAGCGCTCATTGGCTAAAAAAAACACGGTTGGAGTTTTGTAGAACGCGGCAAAATGCCGCGTTTGAGGGGTTCTTTTTGTACCTGCTTTTATAAAACATCAAACGCGGCATTTTGCCGCGTTTGACCACGAAAGGGTTAAAAAGTTTTCTTTCATGATGTATCATCAACGCATCTTCAATGATTTGTGACAAGGATGGTACCAAACAAATACAATCGGGCGCATGGGCGCCCTTTGGGAAAATATTATATTGGGTACATTAGATAAATGTTTCACAAAAGGGTTAAGCGCCGTTAATCATCACGTAATCTCATCACCGCGTCCACTGTGCAGAATTCGTCGGACATTAGGGCACGAATTTATAAACGGAGCCCGAACATTTCTCGTGGAACTTACAATAATTAGAAACTACTTTGCACTTGATATCCTTGCAGCCTAGAGAAGTCTACATTCTGATCTATCTGCAGCTACTGTATTTATGAGCGCAATTCCAAGATACGCTTATGTTCTGATTAAGAGATTTAGCATCATCTTGGCCGCGCTTCTGTCGGAGAAAATATAATACGGAAGACATTTCTTCTCGTAGTGACATCGCGGTTTCAACACGAAGCTGTCATCTTGCTCGATAGCGTAGGCTCTTTGTGTCTTGCATTATCTATGCATCATCCAATTGTGTACAAATGCCGTTGATAGTTTGCGTTATCGGCCCCATCATTGGCACGGAGTAAATAAAGTCACACGTGAATGTTCGTTAAAGCCACGCATGCTCTGAAGTACATCTCGTTATTGCGCTCTTGTCATCGATACTAGTACTAGCAGACGGTACGCAACGTACCCAATCTACCAAAGTAGTTTTCCACATTGACGCGGTCACGTGGAGCTGCGGCATTGTTCGCTTGTTGCTTAAGCGTAAGTTGAACTGATGACCAGCGTCGAATTGGGTGCAACACGCGCTGTGTTTCCGCAGGTCCTTGGCAGCCCTTATATGCGAGGCTACCGGATACTCGGCCTGGAACGGGTTTGCATCTTAGAGGTTTCCTCGTTAGCGCTTTTAGTGGCAGCGACTTTGTGGAAATTCTGGTTGTCCTTAAAGATTGTAATAGCTGCAACCGGCCCGTGATAATGGTAAAAAAAAACAATCACCAGTTCGGTAGAAATAATTGCCAGCTCTGTTTTAAGTTTCTGTGGTTTGTGTTTGACAGAATAATATCCTGCGCGTTCCTGCTGCGAGTCGCTCAGCAGGTTTGCTTGCTGAAAGTTCACGTGCACGCGGCGTATCGACCAGAGCAATAATTCTAAAACATATATCTAGCTACTACGAGCGTTTTGGCGGTGTAAGCTTGCTTATCATCGACAATGTGCCGTCGGAAGAGAATGGGTGACAAAAGGGCGAGGAAACGAGAAATCGTCTTCTCAAAGTGGGTGCTTTGATATGGAAAGCGTTAGCCAGCACATCCCACTGGCCACCTTTCTTCGGGACAAAACGTGTCGTAAATAATACATCCACCTCGTCTTCTTGTAGCTGTTACCCCGCCCGACGTTCCAGTGAGTATATATATAGCACTGATCCTCCACCGTATCCGCACAATTTCAGTCGGCTTAAAGTTGCACAGCTTGATGACGCCGTTGGCGTCCACCGTGCTCACGAACGTGTCCAAGATGGGGTGCATAGAGTCTTTCCCCTCCTCATCCTAAGGAAGAGGGTAGCTGTGCCGATTGAAATTGATAGCGCTCTCGTAATCCAATTCTTGCATAGTAAAGAACGCTCTTCATGCATTGTGAGCGGAAAACGAGGTTGGTCGAGCACGAGTTGGAGTTAGTGTCGCTGAGTGTGACAAATAGGTTGATGACGCACTTGCAATAGAGGGACGAGTCTAGGATTTGAAGCGAGACATGGTGCTGAAGAAGATATTCAAGAATGAGTTAGTAAAATGAGATTAAATAACACCTATCTTTCATGAAACTGCGAGGCTTGGTGCGATGTGACACGCGCGCTTGATACGGCTAATTCATCTTTTAAAGATACCACCTCCGTCCCACGACCAATTAACTTTGGAATATGATGTGAGAATCATTAAAGTGTTAGATCAACTCGATTGAATTTTTTTTTTGCATGTCCAAAACTAATTCGTGGCTGTCACTCCACCAATTTCTCAGTCCCCAGCACTCATACCGGTAGAAGGACGCCGCTACAAGCCCTCTACCACCCGGGGTCCCATGGATCACGAAAGCATCATCCGCTACCTTCTCAAGCGCATGGTCAGCGGACATGCCCCGTGGCTGCATCTCCGAAGCGGCTATCCAGTTTGGCTGTACTCGACAAACAGCGCGACGTTTCATGCGCGCGGCGACGACCCGCTTGAAAGTGCGCAAGGTTTGGGTCGTCTCTGGACTTCGAAAGCCATACAGGAGCCGAAGAGGCTATGCCTGTAAGCGAACGCTCGTCGTTTCGGGCGACTCAGGTAGCAACGGGGATACGACGCACCACTCTCTTGCGCTCGATGGAGAATGGTGATGGCATTTGTCGAGTCTCGGGGACTTTGAAACCCCTCCTCACGCTTTCTCGAATGAATAAGCGGATGGAGTTTGCGCTGTCGTTCGTCGAGCCTACAGACAATGACGGTGAAACAACCCCCCCCCCACAAAAACTCGACCCCCCTCCAAGTGCAAATTAGAACTCAAGTAAAAAAAGAAAAGAAAAGGGCTGCTTTAATTTAAACGCAGGTGATACCGCGCAAGGGGTCGAGTTTTTTTTGTCTTGTTGGCCTTTCTCATTTTGTATTGAAAATAAATACCTACGGGGTGGGGGGGGGGGTGACGTGGTACGGAAGGTAATTTCTTTTCTTTTTTATAAATTTTATTTTAAACTAGTATTTATTTACTATGCAGGTGACACCTACCGATTCAAATTAAATCCATTTTTCATCGATATGAATGATAGCATTGAATTTCAATGCTATCATTCATATCGATGAAAAATGGATTTACATTTCTTAGAAACGAAAGTCGCATTATCTTACCGACAACGAGGACGCTCCTACCATTGCTGTACCAAATACAAACCAGCTTACGAAGGCGCTATTTTGAGTAGCTGCTGCCCGCCCTCGCTACAATTCACACAAGCGGGAGTGGCTCGATGGAAAGATAGGACTCGTCGAAGAACCGCTCTGCTGGAGCGCCGGAGCTGAAGCCTGTGTCAATCACAAGAGCGTTGTACAGACGCTGTCTGATTGACAAGATCATTTCGGCTATTAAGGCCAAGTGACCAGGTATTTTTTTATAGTATTTACTTTACTAAAGTATTTGGCTAAATGAATGGATCGAGAATTCTGACAGTGCAGTAAGATATTGCAACCCCGCATGCTGCTGCTTCCGCAGCGGTGAAAGAAGCTGCATGTTCGGAAGGGTTGAACATTTCTTTTGCAAACCAACCTCCACGCAGTCTCGACTTCAACACTCTTGACCTGCGCCTTTTCTCGAGCATTCAAGCTCTTCAGTACAATAAGTAGGCGTACGACATTGAGATGCTTTGTGAAGCGGTCGAGATCGCGTTCATTGAGCTTGATCAGGTCACGCTGAGAAAGTGCTTTCAGTCACTACAGTCTGTTATGGAGCAGGCAGTGCTAAACAAGGGTGGGAACGAGTACAAGATTCCACACCTCGGTACCGATACACTGCAACGGTCTAAAGAGTTACCAGAAACACTAGTGTGCTCTGTCGAAGCCGTCATCGTGGCCAAAGCTGCGCGCGAGGAGGTGGTTATATAGGAATCATTATCCAGCAGCTTAGAAAGGCTAAAATTAGGCATAATTGAACATTGGATGGGATTGGTGAGCAATTTCATATTTACATGTAAATTCTCCTGTAAATTCGATTTTAAACTAAATTTGTCTTTATCGCTTGTGCTGATTGGATGCATCCACCAGCTGTCAATGTACGTTTAAAGTTGTGGCTACATTTGTCTGATTTACCGTCGCGAAAATAAAACTTATACATTTGCATTCGGTGAGGTGTGGCATAAATGTTTCCATAACGCCCCAATAGTGTCCACATTAGACCTCTGTTATCTTCTTCCGTTGAACCGTTAGCTTAACCCCTTAGTTCCCGGCCTCAAATATGAGGGTATATTTTGACCTCGTCCCATATACAGATATAAAGGAATTTGTATGGGGTTTCAATTAAGTCCGGATATCTTGGCGCGGGTTCGGGGTGGTAACAACGACTTGCCAGTGTGTATAGTACGGATTCTCCAACATAAAGGAGGGTTTATGTAGTACATTGAGACGATCATATACAACTATGCTGTATAAATAAACATAAGATATGTACTGTTTATTGATTAGTCTATCTTTGTGCTGTTGCATACGTCCAGCAGCGGTGAGTTCATTTATTATAGCCAATAACAAGAAAGATCAAGTGCCGTATCAATTGATTGCTCCTTGCATAGACATGTACGACCAGACGGCGCAACCACTACGCCTCCTCCTCCACCGCTTCATCATCTTCTTCGCTCGACTCCCCAGCACCAGCACCAGCACTTGCTCCGCTCTCGCCTACCTGCTGTCTGCGTCTCCGCTTCTTGCCTGGCCGCGACGCTGGCGTTCGTTCACGTGTCCTGTGCTCTTGCAGTAGGTCGCGCGGGATGTCGTTGTCGTTGTTCCAATCAGCATGCCAAATGCTGAAGCGTAGCGTTGCATCCGGAGCTGGTCGTGCACATCAACACCTCCCATGTATCGGTGATAGTCAC